GTTCAAGACGGAAGCAAACTGCCCTAGCCCTAGCCTTGTAGCCTAAACGTTATGAAACCTACATTTGAGTTTCTTATGCCTTGTCCCGGAAAGCAAGAGGGGAAGCGGTTTCAAGGCTGATCAGGGCAGCAAAACAGCTGCCTTTTCCATCAGACATGGGAGCCTTTCGTGCTAGCAACGTAGTGCCAGGTCCTTCAACACACACCTTCTAGGCAGTAGTTGCCTCCCGCGTGGTTCTCCTATGCGTCTCGTCTCGTGCATCTTAGCAACTTAGTGGAGGAGCTGTCGCCAACAGGTGCTTACGTAGTTACCCCTAGGATAGAAAGCCGAGTCCTGCAGTCTGGGGGGCATCCTCAGCTTCTCTTCGGTCGTCGGTAGCTAGGCTAGGGTTTCCATATAACGTCTCCGAGATCATACGCGGGCATTCTGCTCCTAGTGCGCAGCTGGCTAAAGGTTGAAGTTAGTGACAAACAAGAACCGCCAAAACACAGACCCAAAGTTGACCTAAATGGCTTAAGCTCACCAACGCGAAGGCACCCCCCCCCCCCCCCCCGCCCCGGTGTCCCGCTGGAGGGAAGAGCTGCTTTTCGATGGCCGAGCTCGACGTGGTGCAGCGCCGGTACCGTTTTCAGGCCTTGGAGCAGGCAGGGGGAAATCCCCAACTCAGATGCTGTACTTGGAGGATCATGGGACNNAGGTTATAAGTCCCATAATTGGGGCTAGAAGTATAGTTACCCTAATTATAACCCGACTTACTAAGTCCCATGATCCTTTAAGTAGGCATGAACCATTTCCAGAAAGGTTCCCCCCCCCGCTCCGATCTTCTGTGGTGGCGATGACATGTCATACACTTGCACATCATGCGTTCAAGCTGGTGTGACTGTAACTTACCAAGCTCTCCTGGCACAACTCCATTCTGCAAGCCACGCACTACAGGTGGCCAGCGCCCAAGACCTAATATTATGATCATCTTTGCTACTGTAGGGGTTGACGTGCCCCAGCACCTTTGCCCCGTAGCTCGGCCTAATGTGCGATTGGAATCATATGAGACTTGGAGCCCTTCCGACAGACCGAGGTGCTGAACAACTTACTGTTGCTAGTTTCAGTGTCCTCCCTCTTGGCCCTGCTAGCGCCGTGAAATTGAAGCCCTGTTGTGGATACCTTCCGTGCTTCAGGCACATTTGGGGACCGCGGTCGGGAAGCGTGGTCACCGCCGCCGGCGTGGCCTTGGGGGGCGCAGACGCCGAGGCCCTTTCAAGCCTTCTACAGGAGAGAGGTCCCCTCCCACACGGCCCTCTAACTGTTAAAGGAGCGGGGTCTCCAAATGCGTGAGGCTGAAGAGAAAGAGAGTGGACATGCGCCCGGAAACCTCTTGTCCACGTCGTCGTCGCAGCAGTCCTGGGAGTCAGATTGGGAGTGCAAGTAGTGCTAGCAGTATATGATGCGTACCAATGCGTATTAGTCTTCGATTGTTACCCCTAAACCCTAAACACTAAACCCTAAACCCAAAAAATAAACCCTAAACCCAAAGTAGCAAGTTGCAACCACTGCCGAAGCAATAGGATGGGGCCGCCGTCGCCGCAGGGGCCTCAAGCCCGTCGAGAATCTCAACAGTGGAGCTTGTAAGTTTTTGCATTTTTTCGGGTCTATACCACTGCCTTCGCGAACGGCGCAAGTTGCAGACTTTCCGCGTCAAGAATAGAAGAAGACCTCAATCCTCTTAACAACGGATATTTAGATTTCAGATCCTGATTCAGCTTTGTTGTTGTTGGGGGCCAGACAGCTCAGGAAGGCGGTCCAGGACCATCCCGCGCAGCTTTTGTGGGATGAAGGGCCCGTGTAGGCGTGAGAATTCCACATAGGCAACATTCGGGTGTGCATGGTGCGGAGTCAACGTTGCCGGGTCTATGGACCTTGATATCGCCAACAAGCGAGATGGTTATGCAGAGAATCCGATACTCCTCAATTCTGGCATTGTAGGTGGATCCGGAAGATGACTTAGGTCTTATTGCTTACCTAATGGAATCCTGGACTTCCACGCACCTCATGGGTGCGGCATTCTCTTCCCTGCAGAAGTGCTGTGCGACTAGAAAAGAGGGGTACTTGTAGTGCCATGGATTGATTTGTCTCGAGAAGGTGCGCAGCAAGCTGCCTTGATTAAAGCTATGCGGTTGAGTATGCGGTTGAGGGTGGCCGCTTCCTTCAGTTCTCTACCTCGCCTACATGTGTTGAACCTTATGGATCGTTGTGATCCGCGTTCTAACCATTCACCACTGTGTCAGGGTTGGTAGTTGTCAGCCTGCTTATCAATACCTGTCCCCTGTGCTTCTGAAGGACGCCGCCGACCGCGTTGAAGAAGCCGCCGCTTTGCGTGGATGTTGTTTCATCTACTAGTAGTTGATTGGGGTTGACTATGGTTGACTGGTTGGGCGGAGTCCGCAAGCCCTACGCGACGACGGCGTTGACTGTTGCTGATGCTACGGGTACCGCAACTGCTTCTTGCACACTGTGAAACCCCGGCTTCCAGATACTCTGAATGAGGAAAGCAACTTGTCCGAAGATATATGTATGCATGTATATATATATATATATGTATATAGCACCCTGCAGAACGAGAAGAAGCAACCACGGTCTGCACACACACTCATTGCCCTGCTTACTTGAACGAACTACCAAGCTGAGATCCCATACACCCTGTCAAGAGACTATGAGCAAACGTGTGTGTGTGTGTATGTGGGTTTTTTGGGGTTTGGTCTCTGGGCTTCGTTTGAAATGCTTTGGGATGGAAAGACGCTGCTGTCTGTTCCCCTACGAGGTCGCCCATCCCACCTTCGCGACCTTAAACCCTCGAGCCTCTGCAGCCTCCACAAACAGAAAAAGAGAGCCTTGGGGAAAAGGAGGCCTTTGGGGCAAGAAAGAGAGCCTTGGGTAAAAGGGGCAAGGTCGGGGCCTTTCGAAGGTTTAGGCGCATTTTGCCCTGATAGGTTCACCTTCTTTTGGGGGGATCCGAGGTGTTAAGGGCTCGGCCCCGAGCCCCTAAACCCTAAACCCTAAACCCTAAACCCTAAACCTTAAAAATCCTAAGCTTCGGCTCCTTCCGACACTCCGAGGCCGAAGATATTCAAGACGCCACGGAGGAAGCGATCGAGGAGGGCATCGACGTGGTGACGGAAGAGCTGCCGGATGCGATCGAGGACGCGGTGAACGACGTGGGAGTGGCCTTGCTGAAGAGCTTCAGTGGTAGCACCTCTCCATTCTCGTCGCATCAGAGTCTGTTCACGGCTTTACCTAAACCCTACGAACCTCCAAGCAAAGCACGCATGGCGCCAGAACCGGCTTTCCAGTGAGGTGGCGTTGCCGGAGTTGGTGGACACCGTGGTCGACGACGTGATAGAAGCCGCGGAGGGTGCGGTAGCGGTTGTGGCCGATGCTGCGCGGGACGCCGCAATCATCCTGCAATCCCAAAAACACACAAAAAACCCAACAACCCTAAACCCTAAACCAACAAGGCCCTTAAAAGGCCCTTAAAAAAGAAACAAAAACCAACTCAGGAGCTCCCAAGGCCAACAAGGTCCCCAACTCCGCAAATCGGCTCCAATAACTCTTCCCTGCGGTGCGAAGGATGGGGTTCGCCAGGGCTCCAAGCTGGCGAACGAGGTGGGCAGCTTCCTGAAAGGGCGTTCGGAAGTTTGGGGTTTAAGGTTTAGGCCTTAGGGTCGAGGGTTTGGGTTTCAGGGCTTAGGGCTTAGGGTTCAGAATTTTGTTTTTTTCAGGGGCTTGGGGTGTTTTAGGCGTTATGGGGCTCAAGGCAATTTGGGGGTTCAGAGACGGGAGCAAGGGGAGAGGAAGCGAAGCTCCTGCTGCGTTTGTCTCCTTGGCACGAAGAATCCTGCGGTACCCTGAGAACCCAAGACTTCTATGAGTATACTTTCGGTGCCTTAGATCGCCTTCAGCACAATCTATGCTTTGTGAGTAGCTACTCCTTCTTTAGGCGGTGCCTCACAGCAAGGCTTTTCTTCAGGGTGTTGTCCCTACCTCCCCAAGGGGTCCGAAACAAGGACCCGCCTGCGCCCCCCAAGCGGACAATATAAAACAAGTTGCCAAGGGTCAAGGACCCTGGTCTTGCGGCCCTGCGAGGTGACCCGGACCATTGTGAACACCGTGGAAAGGCTGGGTGATTTGGCTGAGGCGCAAAGAAGATTGACAGCTTGCTTCCTCCGTGATTGGCAAGGATGTTCGACTTTTGACGAGGTAGATTTGACTGAGGTGTTCGAGCCCCGGTTTCATCAAGAGTTTGAAGCCACTTCTTGCACGCTTTCCAGACGTGTTAGCGTGTTCAAGCGGGCCACTACTGTGAGAGCGACAACCTTGCCTTGTAGTCAGGATCAGGACAATGAGACCACTATAGGGATTGCTGGATGATGGGCTCCTCTAGGAGAGCACCAGTGGAGAAACTCGATGCAATGTAAGCACAAAGGCAACCACGCCTGTGCGGCAACCACTCGGGGGCGGCATGTGACGCCACTTTCGACTTAGAGGGTTGTCATTCACCAGCGACAAAGCGCCTCACACTTCGTCACATGACAGCGAGCATCGTATCACATCACAACGTCGATCCCTACAGGGCCCTTCTCAAATCCTAAACCCTAAACCCTAAAAACTAAACCCCAAACCCTAAACCGTGGCTCGAACGCCTTCGTCAAGCCTTGAAAGCCGTCACAGGCCTGGGGCGTCATGGCTTTGGGCTACTTGGAGGACGCCTGGGCCGCGAGCCTCCGCTGCACTTTCAGCCACAACCTCGGTTGTGAATAGCGCCTTCAAAAAGGCTCTTGGGACGGGGTGTGTTAGGGCTGAAAGGCTACACTGTTAGGGGCTCTTTTGGGCCCTTTGGGTGGAGGCTTGTTGCTTCAGGACGTTGCGATGCAGCTTCCAGGGACCAGGACTTGCTCAAGTTCCGCCGATTCAGGGTGGTACTCGTACGGCCCGCAGAGCAAGAAGCAAAGGAGCGTGCGGATGCCGTTTTGGAAGCCCGAGCACAGCTGCTTGGAAATCCGATCGCATGCAGTCTAGCTGAGCCGAACACTTCCAGGTCTCCAGAACTGAAACCGGAACAGAGTCCTGGCCGCCTGGGCCGCCACCCTATAAGCCCTAAACCCTAAACCCTAATCTCCCAGGATTGCGGACTTCTTGGCCTGTCTCGAGCAGGCGCGCGCGCGAATCTTGGGGGCTGTTTTTGCCGGCTCGGGGCTCGCCCGGCGCAGGGTACTCGTAGCTCCTGCAAGCAAGGGCCTGGTCCGGGGGGTATTCTGCGAACGGTTTAGGGTTTACCTGGACAGCCTAGGTCATGCTTTTAAATAG